GTAGACACATTCTTTTTTTTTTTTTTTCTTTTTTTAAGATTTTGCTTACTTATTTGAGAGGTGGGGGGAGAACACAGAGGGAGGAGCAGACTCCCCACTGAGTGGAGAGCCCGATGTGGGTCTTGATCCCAGGAACCTGAAATCATGACCTGAGCTGAAGGCAGACGCTTAACCGACTGAGCCACCCAGGCAACCCTAGTAGACACATTCTTTAAAACAAACTAATAAACATCTAAAAGGAATTTAAAAGAATTTAAAGAAAAGATAGCTCAAGGGTACAGTACTCATTAGATGAAAGTGCATATGCTACTGTTTTTACTTGAGGGACACATAAATCTGGTTAATCTTGGCTAAAAAATTTTTTTCCAAATTTTTATTTAAATTCTAGTTAGTTAACATACAGTGTAATATTAGTTTTAGGAGAATTTAGTGATTCATCACTTACACGTAACACCCAGCGCTCAACACAAGTGACCTCCTTTTTTTTTTTTTTTTTTTAAGATTTTATTTATTTATTTGAGACAGAGAGAATGAGAGACAGAGAGCATGAGAGGGAGGAGGGTCAGAGGGAGAAGCAGACTCCTTGCTGAGCAAGGAGCCCGATGTGGGACTCGATCCCGGGACTCCAGGATCATGACCTGAGCCGAAGGCAGTCGCTTAACCAACTGAGCCACCCAGGCGCCCCACAAGTGACCTCCTTAATCCCCATCATCCATTTAGCGCATCCCCGCCCACCTCCCCTCCATCAACCCTGTTTGTTCTCTATATTTAAGTCTCTCATGTTGGTTAAAAAATTTTAAAACGTATGCATCATTAGTCGCCAAATGAATCATGTAGTTTATTATTGGGATAAAAATCTCTATAGCAACATAGTATCTCCAATTATCACCTCCTAAAAGACACTGAAGCACAATCTAAGCTAGTTCCAATATATGAAAAGGATCTGTTCTGAAAAACATTTCTGTCCATTTCTTAAATTTAAATGCACTGTGGACCTATGAGAACCAGCTTAGGAATTTTCCCCCCTACTTACGACCTTGTTCTGTGGAAAATGCAGTCTGAATGATCCTTAAGATACCGGTAGGAAATGTCTTCCCCCATGTCCACGGTCAGTAGCACACAGGCACTGTAGTAGGACAAGGGCTTCGCGGGTGGGGCTGCAGCTGGAGGGAGTGGGCTGGGCTCTGAGGACAAGCAAGGCAAGGCTAACAAAAGGGATCCTGTCTTAACCAGTACACTCACTGGTCACTGGCTTTATCTTATGCTCCACTTTCCTTGGCTCAAGTTATATCCTTAAGTGGATGCTAAACGTTGGGGATACGTGGACACCTAGCTCATTACGCACTCGTGAAGTTTGGGTTGGATTAGATTGTAGTTACCGAGCGTATGGAGGGCCTTTCCTTCTGTGCTGAACTGAAACATGACTTCAAGATACAAATCTTGCTTTCAGAGTTTTTTTTTTTTTTTTTTTTAAAGATTTATTTATTCATTTGAGGGAGCGAGAATGAGAGAGAGTACATGAGAGGGGGGAGGGTCAGAGGGAGAAGCAGGCTCCTCCCTGAGCAGGGAGCCCGATGCGGGACTCGATCCCGGGACTCCAGGATCATGACCTGAGCCGAAGGCAGTTGCTTAACCAACTGAGCCACCCAGGCGCCCGCTTTCAGAGTTTTAAAATCCCTATCTCCAGGGACACCTGGGTGGCTCAGTCAGTTAAGCTTCTGCCTTTGGCTCAGGTCATGATCCCAGGGTCCTGGGATTGAGTTCCACCATTGGGCTCCTTGCTCAGTGGGGAGCCTGCTTCTCCCTCTCCCTGCTCCTCCCCCTGCTTGTGCTCGTGCTCTCTCTCTGACAAATAAATAAAATCTTAAAAAAAAACCCCAAAACTCTATCTTCAGGAGCTGACTTCTCAGCTCCTGAAACATATTTTCTATCACCTGATAGGCATTTCTTTCTTTTTTTCTTTTTTTTAAAAGATTTTATTTATTTATTTGAGACAGAGAGAATGAGAGACAGAGAGCAAGAGAGGGAGGAGGGTCAGAGGGAGAAGCAGACTCCCTGCCGAGCAGGGAGCCGGATGCGGGACTTGATCCCAGGACTCCAGGATCATGACCTGAGCCGAAGGCAAGTCGCTTAACCAACTGAGCCACCCAGGCGCCCCTGATAGGCATTTCTAAAGGTCCCACAGGCACTTCAAAGAACCCATACCAAATGACTCTCATGACCTCATCCCCTCAGCCAGTTAGTTATCCTTCTGTTTCCTATTTACTGGTAGCTCCCTCCACTCTGTCGCCCTCCCTAGAACCTTTGAAATCTTGTCTTCTTCCTCTCCCTCCTCTCTCACATTCAGGATTAACTACATCTCCTAAATCTCTCTGAAATCAGTCCCTTTCTTCTTTATTTCAAGTGTCATCATCTCTTACCTGAACCACAGCAAAAGCTAACCTACCTTCCAGCTTCAAAAGCTCTCCCAGCTCAAATTCATTCCCTACCCTATAATCTTCCCGGACACGCAGATGTGATCTTATCACTGCTGTCAAACTTTCGATGGTTCCCCCATTCACAAAAAAGATAAAATCTGAATCTTTCAATGGCTCCAGGTCTCGAAGGCCTTCGAAGGGAGGCCTTGTTTGGCCACCTTACCTAAAGTTGACCTCCCCCCGTAATTCTATTACCTGGTTTATTTCATTCATGGTTCTTAATTCCCTTGTCTGTTTATGGGTTTATTATTTGCCCCCCACTTCCCAGGAACATAAGGTCTAACTGGGTCAGGGATCTTGACTATTTTTCGTAGTGGAGAGCAACCTCCCAGCTTTAGCACAGTGATGGTGCCTAGCAGGTGCACAACATTCTGCTGGACAAAGGCCCCTCACTGTCCGCCTCCCACTCCTCTGCAGTTTCATTTCCACCACATATCTGTGGTCTAGTTACTTCAAAAGTCTCCCTGTCTCCAAATAAACTTTAAATTATTTGTACTTTCCTTCTTTTTAAAAAGTTGTTTCCTGTTATGCCCTTCTCCTCCTGTCCCCTTACTAAGTCCTAACTTTTTTGTCAGCGTATTTTAATTGTTAAGCTTTTTTTATTAAAAATTTTTTTGGGGGGGAGCGCCTGGGTGGCTCAGTTGGTTAAGTGTCTGCCTCCAGCTCAGGTCATGATCCCAGGGTTCTGGGATCGAGCTCTGCATCAGGCTCCCTGTTCAGCGGGGAGCCTGCTTCTCCCTCTCCCTCTGCTGCTCCCCCTGCTTGTGCTCTCTAATAAATACATAAAATCTTTAAAAATAAAAAAAAAAAACAATTTGTTTTTTTATTGATTTGTAGTTGACACAGAGTGTTACATTAGCTGCAGGTATATAACATAGAGATTTGACATCAGGACATTTCTATCCTTATTTTTTTTAAAGATTTTATTTATCTATTTGAGAGACTGAGACAGAGAGAGCAACAGAGAGCATGAGTGGGGAGAAGAGGGAGAAGTACGCTCCCCACTGAGCAGGGAGCTTGATGCGGGACTTGATCCCAGGACCCTGGACCCTGGGATCAGAACCTCAGCTGAAGGCAGACACCCAACTGAGCCACCCAGGCACCCTATAAGGACATTTCTAAAGTCACCTTGGGAAGTCTACTTTGATTCCGACAAGTATACTTCCTTCTAACTGTCTTCAGAAAGTAATATGGCATCTAGCACATTCTAGGTACTAAATAAATATTCGTTAATTGTGCTATCTAGCTGCCTCATTCTAGAGAAGGCTGAAACAAAATCGGTGTGGAGCACCTGGAGACTGAAAGCACAGAGGTTTCATGACCATGTATCCTTCACTGCCTTTTGAGATGCCAGGCAGAGGACAGCCATGAGCTGAAGAAGTTCCCATTCTTTAATTCATAACATACATCATCAGTGCCTAGCTTTATGAGCAAATTTTAAGACCACAGCCTTAATGTATTTTATTGATTTCTCTGGATCTCAGATTTTCAAACTTTTAGGGGCAGGCCTGCCACTGGGCCCCCAACCAAAACCACCTTGATGACAAGAGGGTAAGGGAACAAGTAGAAGACCTGAGAATCAAGGACACGTCTGTCTCCCAATCAGGGCTGTTCAACAGAAATGAGGGCCATGCATATAATTTAAAATTTTCTAGTGGCCACATTTTAAAAGGAGACTGATGAAATTAAGTTTAGTGAATTTTTTTATATATCCAAAATACTATTTCAGCATATAACGAATATCAAACGCATCAGTTGGGTATCTCATTCTTTTGTTTCTACTGACATCTCTGAAATCTGTATTTTGCACTTACAGTACATCTTAAGTGGACTAGCCTCATTTCAAGTGTGCTCAAATGTCACATGACATACGGCTATCCTCCTGGACAATGCAGGTTTAGGCCCTGTGCTTCTCCCACTGAGCCTTTAGCTCTAGACCGCTTGTCCTACTAGATGCTCTGTGCAAACAGGTAAGTCCTTTGCCAAATTTCCTGAAGCTATACAAGTCCATCTAATCTACTTAAATAATTTAGAACTTTATCCTTGCCGTATTTATTTCCTTCCCGCCCCTCCATAAACCTTCTGTGTGACACTTTAGAGTGCGTTCTAATTAACAGAGGGAAGGAATGAATCATCAGAGTCGGGCTCAAGCACGAAGACTCCAGCTTTTGCTGGCGGTGGGGAGTACACTCCTAGGTCCCGCCCCAGGGATCGATCAGGGCTGCAAAACACAGTCTTTGCTAAAATCCCAGTGGTTACTGCCATCGATCGTTCTACGTAAGTGCAGCTTTGCCAGGAAGTTCCAGGGCACCACCTGCTAGTAAAATCAGCTCGTGTTCCAGAACTCGCTGTCATCACAGTGCTGCCCCGCAAATCTATTCATTCAACCATCACTTCTTGAGCGCCTGCGTACACCCTTTGGTGGACAAGTCAGCCGGAAGCCCAAGAGGGGGAACCTCAGTCTAACAGGGGAGGGGGAGTCCCAACAACCAGCCCGTGCTAAGCACTCCTGCATCAACCAACCCAAAGAGCAGTCGACACGACCCCAGGGAGCAGGTCTTACTCTCACTTCGCAGAACAGCAGCAAGAGGCCGAGTAACTTGTGGCCACCGAAGGCACCGACCCGAGCGGCCGCGTCCTAAGCCCCGCGTCGGGCGGCACACCCCGCACGCACGGGCGCCTCGGTCCCCGCCGAGCGCCGCCACGGACGCCGCGCAAGGGGAAGTGCGGCCGCCGCAACCTCGGGCGGCGGCGCATTGTGAGGTGCCGCGTGGTGCTCACCGGCGACAGGAGCGTCCCCGCTCGAGGAACAGCCAGCCGCCCGGAGCCTCTCGCACCTTCCCTAGCCGACACCTGACACCCACCGCGGAAGCGCGACGGCTTTGGGGCGGAAATTGCCGGACCGCCGGCCGCCTCAAGAACTACCACTCCCGTGAGGCTGCGCGGGCCGGGCGGCCTTTGCGCAGGCGCGCGCACGGCGTGCGTGGCGGCGTCAGCAGTTCTAGAACGTTGCTGTGGTAGCGCTCGGGCGCCATGTTAGGACGAAGGGGAAGGAGGAGAAGCGCTTAAAGCGGCGGGAGCGGTGCGGGAGTGGGGTTGGACCCAGGGCTGAGGCAGGCCCCCCCCCTCCCTCCCGCCTCAGTGGATCATGCCCAGGGCGGCAGCGGCGGCGGTTGCGGGGGGGAAGTGACTGGGCGGTGCCGGCGCAGGAGACGATGCCGTTGTAAGTGATTTGTATTCTGTTTTCTCTCGCACGCCGGCGGGGCCTTGGGGGCGTCGGGGGAGGGGGGAGGGGGTGGCGCGAGAGCCGGGCCCTCGCCCCGTGGGGGAGGCAGGCGGGAACGGGGCTCTTCCTGTTTCCTCACCCGCTCGCCGCCGCACTTCCCCTTGTGCTCGGTTCCCGCTTCCCCCCACCCCTTCCTGGCTCCGCGGCCGTCGGGCCGGGGGCCTCCCCTTCCGGAACGGCCAGGGGAACCTGAACCTTAGTGCTCCCGTTTCTCCGCCCCGTCCGGGAAAAAAAAAAAAAAGAAAAGAAAAGAAAAGAGAAAAAACAATGCCCGGCGGCGGGGAAGGGAGGCCCCGCCGGTTGCGGGGTCTGCACGCGGCGTTCGGGTTCACTCTCGGCGTTTCCCCGGCTCATTTCGGTGCTTCTCTTCCTGGTCTACCTCCGCTGCGTCCCTCTCTCCCTCCCGTCCCAAGCTGCCCAAATCGTGCGGCAGACTTAACCCACTTCCACCTCTGAGCTTGCACGAGCACCAGCTGAAAGCCCAGTTTCGAGCGTCGAGCCCCGCTTCCCCGCTTGAACAGTCCTCCCCAGGCTTCCCACCGTCAGCAAAGGGACACTTGCCAGGGTGTCCTTCGCAGCGCGTTGTGTTAGGTATGGCTCTGTCCGTTCTGTTTTGATACGATAGTCGGATGCATTCTGCTTCCTTCTGCCTCCATCCCCAGGGGTACTTTTACTTTTCCTGATTACAGACTTAAAGCTAGTCCGTTCTTGCCTTCTTCCCTAGGTCTGCGTCTTATACTTTCTTTCTCTTGCAGCGTTTTTAGAAAGTTTTTCCATTCTGTCTGTTTCAGAGAATGAGATGTAATCTGAGAACTCATTGTTGGGATCGAAAGTAGATTACAGCTTTTTTTTTTTTCTGCGTGTATCCAGCAGTGTAGAGGCCTAAATAGTGAGACTGCATTTCTTCCATTTTTTTGAACATTCTAGTGTAATAGTGCTCCGCTCCTTTGAGACGGGGGACCGAATTTTCTTCTTTGAAGGCCCCAAACGGACTATGTAATTATTGACACTGGAAGTTTTACTTAGGTGCAAGATAAAGGTTTTGTGATTTCTAGACACCTAATACAGCACCTCAGGTTTATCTTTTTTTTTTTTTTTTAAGTAAAGACAGTTTCTTTTTCGCAAATACTACTGATTACAGTTACCTATGTGTATGTGTGTGTGTCTCTTTACAGGTGAGGCTCTAACTTTGACACAGGCTTTAAGATACCTATTGCTTTTTACACAGTATTTTTGAGAAAAATTTCATGCTCCTCCTCACCCACTTCTGTCATTTTTAAGAGACCTATCAGCAAATTTCTGTAAATGAGAATATTTCCTAGTCTTAATTAAATATGCAGACCTAAAATCTTAGAATCTGCAAGATCCCTGTTAATTGATTTATTCATCCTTTTATGAAATGGTAGAGACACTAGAAGCACTGATTTTTGGGGCATTTTTCAGTTCAGCAGCAATTAAAATAAATGTTTTAGTGATGCCATGTGACTTCTTTGTGTTAGCTCACATATTGTTGCTGTGCTTGAAAAGCAACTTTGTGATAATCGTGTCAGTATTAAAATTTGATCAGTGATAGGAAATGAACAATTTAAGAGGTTTTAATTAGAAATAACATAATTGTATCTTTTTGTCTAGAAAATAAAAATACTTTTATACCTACTTTTTCCCAGCCTTCTTTGAGGAAGAGAGGTGTACATTTTCTTTAAAGACCTGAGAGCATAAATTTTCTTGGAAGTTCAGATACATAAAATGGGAGACAGAGTTTTGGATAATTGGCTTTCCAGTGTGTTTTTTGAACTGTGAACAATATGCCCAGTTTTTCATTATATCCCTCTCATTTTTAACCCTAAGTATACTATATTTTAAGTCAACAACAAAAAGACCAGACTGCCTAGTTAAATAGGCCTATTTCCTCATTGATTGGCTTTCTTTTTGTTTTTCATATTCTGGTGTCACAATTGCCTTTCATTTTGTTTCTTTGAAGTTTTGAATTGTGATTCCCAGGCTTATCGTGCTTGATTTCCACTTGCACTTTAGTATGCTGTCCTGTTAAATTTGGGTGGGTGGGATTGTGGCATAGGCCGTAGTTGAGCTGTCAGAATGGGTTAAATCAAAATAGGTTATTGAAGTTTAAGTCATTACATACAACATTGTGAACAAGTGTTCATATTTTGTCTAAAACTCATGTAATATATGTATAATTTTGAAAGGCTGGTATGATTTAAGAGCCATGGTGATCAAGCTTCCAAAAATAGTGGTAGTCTTTAGGATCCATTAATACAGGGTTTCTCTGGTAGGTACTGTTGACATTTAGGGTCAGATAATTCTTTGAAGGGGGCTGCTTGTGTGTTGTAAGGTGTTTAACAGCATCCCTGGCCTTTACCTACTAGATTTCAGGAGCCCCACCCCCCATCTCTCCAGTAGTGACAAAATGTCTCCAGATGTTGCCGGATGTAACCTGGCAAGATTCTCCTTGTTTTTTTTTTTAAAGATTTTATTTATTTGACAGAGATACAGCGAGAGAGGGAACACAAGCAGCGGGAGCGGGAGAGGGAGAAGCAGGCTTCCCGCAGAGCGGGGAGCCCCATGTGGGGCTCGATCCCAGGACTCCGGGACCATGACCTGAGCCGAAGGCAGACGCTCAACGACTGAGCCACCCCGGTGCTCCGCAAGATTCTCCTTGTTGAGAATCACTGCATTGATAGAGTATAACGCGTTTCTGGGAACTGTGTTCTGCTTTCTGCCCTACTCTGTGCTGGACAGATCCATTATTTGCATCAGCTCAGTTCTGGCTATCACAAGTGTAATGAAAAGATTTTGAGGAGAGTAACCATCATCAGTGACCTAGTGTTCATACCACATTTGTAGAATGTTGTTAAAAGTTACTGGAAGAGATATTTAGCAAGACTTGGGGGAGACAGTAGCTTTTCTCCCAAATATTTGGGGCTGTCAGAAAAAAAAATAGTTTCATGAAGTCATTCATAGCAGGTAGAACTGGGGCCTCTTGGTGGGTTGTAATGGGTACCAGATCACATTGTGATCTGTGGAACCCCTGGGATCTCTAAGGAGTACATAAAATTCAAACTATTTCATAATAGTGCTGAAATGTTATTTCTTTTTTACTCTGTGGACATTTGCATGATGGTGTGAAATCAGTAGTGGATAATGAATGCTGTTCTTGCCTTAGGAAAAATTGAGGCAGAGGCACCATATTTTACGAGTAGTCATATATTTCTTCATCACAAGCATAACACACAGTTTAAAAAGTTCTTGATGAAACAGTGAAACACATTAATTTTAATAAATCCTGACTCTCGAATTTATGTCTTACATAAGCCATGATAAAGTGGGAAGTACACATAAAGTGGTATACTAAAAAGTAGCATGGTTGTTTTGAGAAAAGCACATGTCTGATTGATTTGTGAGCTAAACTAGTGTTTTTCTCGTAGAGCTCTTTTATCTGAAAAAACAAATGATGAACCGTGGGTATTGACACTTGGACCATTATTTTCCTGAAAATGAAGTGAGCCTGTCTCTTTAAGGAAAACAGCTGACAGCATTGGTGGCCAAATGATAAATTTGAAGATAAAAACTAGAATTTTGGAAGGCTTGTTTCTGTCATTGTAAGCTTGACAGCTTCCTAGTAGTTAAAAAATGTTTCTGATAAGATTGGTAGTGATATTAATGATACCATTTTTAAAAAAAAATACATTTTGTAATGTGTCAACATTTGGAAGATAAGCTTAATTTTGATGTAATAAAAATCATACATCGGTAAAAGGTACATTCGAAGTGCAGTGTTGATCAGTGGATTTTTTTTTTAAGATTTTATTTTTAAGTAATCTGTACACCCAACATGGGGCTCGAACCCATAACCCTGAGATCAAGAGTCACAGGCTCCACCTGCAAAGCGCCCCTAGACCAATGGATTTTAATGCAGCAGTATAAGGGGTTTATTGATGTGGTTTCAGCTTTGATACTGTAACTAATCTTTAATAAAACACTTGTGGAGTTTTGGTGTAGTATCATAGAAGAATATCCACAATTATTTGAAAAGGCTATTGAAATACTCTTCCAGTTAGGATGGTGTGATGCCAGGTTTTCTTCATATGTGTCTACCAGAACAACTTGTCAAAGGGATTGAATGCAGAAGCAGATAGAGGAATACAGCGGTCTTTGATAAAGCCATAATTAAAAAGATTTGCAAAAATGTAAAACAGTGAGATTAGAGTCACTAAATTTTTTGTTTTGGAGAACAGTTTTAAAAAATTATTTATGTTAACATGTAATAGATTTCTTGTTACTCAAATACATAAACATTTAAAAATTTATCCCAGTTATAATTCCAATGCAGTAAATATTGGCAGATATAATCCATATAAGCAAAAGATCTTTGGGTTCCTCAATAAAGCTTAAGAGTTGTAAAAGGAGTCTGTGACCAAAAAGTTTGAAAACTTGAGAATTGCCACCTTACAGAAACAGCTGACTGCTGCCCCAAGCTGCTATTTCCAGTGGTGGCAGCGTTTCTGGGTGGTTTTTGGACAGTCTGGATGGATGGACACACAGACACACACGTGGTTTAAAGATTTTTGTTGTTGTCCATGCAAAACAATGCATTGGGTAATCTTTAGGGAAGATAACTTCTAACAGAGCTATTTTGGTTTTCAGATTTTAGGATTTAGAGATTTTGTTTGTTTTTTTTTTTAGATTTTATTTATTTATTAGAGAGCGAGCGAGAGAGAAACAGCATGAGAGAGGAGAGGGTCAGAGGGAGAAGCAGGCTCCCCGCTGAGCCGGGAGCCCGATGTGGGACTCGATCCCAGGACGCTGGGATCATGACCTGAGCCGAAGGCAGTCGCTTAACCGACTGAGCCACCCAGGCGCCCAGGATTTAGAGATTTTGTAATGAATTGCTTGCTGCTAAAAAAAAATGTTGGCTGTGGTTTTGGAATGTGGTGTATTACCTTAAGTCTGTTCTCAGTTCATGCTTTTTGATGGAGAAGTTACAAGATAAGGTATTGGAATTGAATAAATTTATGAGCCAATTCAGTTCCTATTTCCTAGTCACCCCCGTCTCCTACCTTGCCCCTCCCAGGTGAAAGCCTTCTGGCCGGAATAAAGCCATTTGGATTCTTAGTATGTCCCATTTTGGTGGGGTGGGAGGCATGTTTTTTTGTTCTGTATGTTTATTGTTCTGATTATTCAGCAGCTTTTAAATAATTGCACATTCTCAATTTATGATATACAAAACAGCAGCATTGCCCGAGGTATTAGTTCCCTTTAAAATTGGTTAACTTGAGGGGCGCCTGGGTGGTTCAGTCTGTTAAGCATCTGCCTTCAGCTCAGGTCATGATCCCGGGATCCCGGGGTCCTGGGGTAGGGCCCTGCATTGGGCTCCCTGCTAAGCGGGGAGTCTGCTTCTCCCTCTGCTGTTCCCCCTGCTTGTGCTCTCTGTCCCCCCTCTCTCCCCCTGTCAAATAAATAAATAAATAAAAATAAAGTTGGTTAAATTGAGGCTTGAAGTACTCACTTGTCCAGGGTCTAAGGGTGCTTAAGTTGTAGATTGGGGGTTAATTCAACTGTGGGTTCCATGT